TATATATATATATATATATATATATATATATATATATATATATATATATATATATATATATATATATATATATATATATGACCAATGAATTTGATTTACTGTGTCGTTATGTGATGATGCTAGAGACATATCACCTTAGAGAGTTGAGATAGGATGAGCATAGCAGAGTGGATCACTGGCTCACGAGTTTGATGATCTTGAGATACCTGCGATCATAGAACACGTGAACTAGGTCGGGGGTTGATCCGGCGAAAACCCCTCTGACGCTCAAGTCAGACGTGCGGATAGTGGAAATAGTCCAGATAATACAGTTGGTAGTATTACTCATTTAATAGGACGTACCTTAAGAATTGAGTTCAAATATTTATTTATACCTTATTGATTGGGCTGAAGTTTAATTAGTTGAGATTGTCGGACTCGTGGTCCAGTATGTAAATGAATTATAGGCACATTAAGTTGGTCCAATTAGATATATCATTATGCAATTACAATTTTAATTACTTGGTCAATTATATACTTTTTTCAAATCTTGATTAAATAATATAACAAGTTATAATCTATTAAAGTTTATGTACTGTTTACAAGTCATCAATTTTGTATTATAAAACTAATAGTAATATCATCACAAAGAGCAGTTACAAGATATTACAAATATATATTTTACGAGATTAAATTATGAGCGGATCAGCCGATATTTAATATAAATCGGATTCAACTATTTTTTCGACATGTGGCACTCTTAAGTCTTAACTCTTAATAAATAAATCACGCTATTATAATTAGGATTAGATGGGTTATGAGTTATGCTGGGGTTTTTCTATTTTTTTTATTTTCCAATTATTAGAATGCTAACTATATTTTTATTTAAATAACTATACACGTGTCAATCATTCTATGGCATCCAATTTTCGTACTAAAACAGACTATCCGGTCTAAATTTGCACCCATATTTTACTAATTAGTGAAGCAATATTATGGCGTACACGCTTACGTATTACTATTTTCATGGTCCAATAAGCAACAGTTAAGAAGGAATGAAATGTATTACATACCAAACTTATTAGACTTTAATTAAATTTATTTAACTTATGTTCTATTATACATGTATATATTCCACGGTCTTATCTCGTAACCTAGCTACATTTTTCTTTAGAGTTGACATATTATTATTAATCTTTATTATATTTTCAATTTGGTTGATGACTCGTACATTACTCACAAACTCATACTTGATATAGTTGAAACTTGATATATATACCACTAATAAACATATACTAATACAACTCTCTTAGTCTCTAATTTACACCAACTTTATTTTTACTTTGAATATACGCCAACTTATTTATTCTACTCTACGTACAAAATTAGAGCCATTCAGAGCATGTTTGCTAAGCTTATAAGTTGTCAAAAAATCTTATAATAAGACGTTTAAGAGCTTATAAGCTAGTAAAAAATGTTTGTTATTTTTTTTTTCGAAAAGATCTTACTTAGAAAAGAAAAAAGTTGTTGAGAAGCTTTTAAGCTGTTGTTGAAAAAATACACCAACCCCACCTTTTTTAAATGTGATGTTATTTTTTTATTTACTAAAACATTTATAGCATAATATTACATTTAGCAAACTTATAAACTTCATATTCAAACATCTGAAAATTTAATCTTTAAAATAAAATATAAAAACTTATCAGCTCCTAAAATATTTTGTATAAGAACTTATAAATATTTTAAATAAGTTCGTCCAAACATGCCTTTATATTGACGAGATTTCTAATTTGTAACGCGTATTTGTGACGTAGATTTTAAATTATTTATTTCTAACTTGAGAAAACCAAATAAAGTCAAATGGATAAAATGGTAAGTAATAATAATGTGTTCAGTACGGAAGTAAAGAAATGAAATATAATACTTTAATTTGGAAAGGTGGTGTGGTGTGGTGTGTATGCATGGAAGAATTCTAGAAGAAAGAAGATTCCAGGGTACTGCACTACATTTCCATGGCTCGCCACTCGCGACTCACTTACTTGTTCGCATACTCTTCCCAATTAAGTATTAACCCCACGCGCTCATGCTTACGCGTTGCATGATGCCTTTTTCACACTTAATTTGTTCCTTAATTACATCTTTTTTTTTATTATTAGTTTCTTTAATCCTCTACATTTATACTAATTAAATAGTAATATGTATTTTCACATTCGAATCCCTTTTTTATGTAAATATTAAAAAGAAAATCATATATAATTAGCATATTATCAGTTCCAAACTTAAAATTCTGGCTTCGTCGACGATGCGATGTAATAATTTACATTAATTAATTAATTTGATTTACTTCTCAAGCAAGAAAGTTTGCCAATTTAATTTGCTAATTCCAATTGATCATTTTCCCTCACTGCGAAAAGTCAACATTCACATCAAGTCAAATCTCCAACTGCCAAAAAAAAAAGTTTATATATACATCCAATCCCTTCACTCTTTCTCTCTCATTAACAAACATTTATTAAACACCAAAAAAAAAAAAAAATCTAGATTGTTTTCACACGCGCCATAATGATGATGATGATGAAGAGACAAAGAGAAGAATCCGATGTCGACGACATAACAAACCTGGCTAATTCTCTCATCCTACTCTCCGGCGGCGGCAGCGCCGCCGCAGGAGGAGGATATTCCAGCCGTGTGTTCGAGTGCAAAACGTGCAACAGGCAATTTCCGTCGTTCCAAGCCCTGGGCGGCCACCGCGCCAGCCATAAGAAGCCGAAGCTAATGGGCGGCGCCGCCGCCGGAGACGATCACCACCGGTCTCCACCGAAGCAGAAGACGCACGAGTGCTCAATCTGCGGACTGGAATTCGCGATCGGGCAAGCCCTAGGCGGCCACATGCGGCGGCACAGATCTGCAACCACCGCTAATAACGATCATCATCAGAAGCAGCGGCCGTCTCCGCCGCCGCCGCCGCCTTCGTTGTTCCTGTCGTCGTCTTCGCCTCCGATCGTGAAGAAATCAAACAGCCGGAGAGTTTTGTGCATGGATCTGAACTTGACTCCTTCGGAAAACAAGTTTCTCTTCGGCAACGTTGCTCCTGCTGTCAATTGCTTTTTCTGATTTATTTATTTTTAATTTTTAGTAGATACCGCCGGATTTATTTATTCATTTATAATTATCACTACTGTAAATGATTATTTTTTTTAATTAATATATACTATACATCTCATATTTAGTTCATCAAAATAATTTGTTATTATTTGACTTCATAATTCTAGTTGCATGAATATATTTATGGCACATGGGAGGGGTTAAGCACAAAATATTTCACGCCAACAGTATAATTAATCCAACTATATCGTCTGGTAGATACTATATTCGGTCAAATATATCGGTTAAGATCGATCTAATTACATAGTACATATATGGATAGATAATAATCCACTTTAATTATTCGCATCCACCGGTATGTTTGTATACTTGTGTGTAATTTTACGATGTATAACTACTTAGTACATATTTGATCGAGTGTAACATATCCGAGTAATTAGATGAAGAACACGAGGGTACGCATTACGCTTTGTTGCACAAACCGGTAATTTAACTGGAGACATTGCCACATGGAGAGGGTAAAATGTCGAGTCCTAAACATGCGAGATAAGTACACGAAGATTAAGTTGGGAATTGGTCCGGCAAAATCTCTCTAACGCTCAAGTCAGACGGATAGTCAATTGCTAAATCGAACAAGTTTATAAATGGGATCTCGCGGAAGCTTAGACAATGAGTTAGATCATAGATGGTCTTTATCAAAAAAATTTGCAATTATAATTTAGATTAGAGGACTTTAGACTTTAGAACATTAAACTAGATGGGATTAACCCATTAGTTTAAATTTTTGTCCATGAACTTGCCCAAATTGGATAATAATTAATGGGCATATATTTTTTTTTTTTTTTGAGTAAATTCAAGTCCATTACAAGGAGAT